ATACTACAATGGGTGATCTGTTTGGTATTTGGAGCCAAACACTTCAGAGACATGTTCTGTATATATCTGAGATCTATAATTAATTGATGAAAAACAGTATAACAGGGGACCTTTTAAAAAGACACTTAGGGATGACTGATGTTTGACAAAGCCTCTCACTGTGTTTCTGCCCTCAGACCGAGCAGCTGACCACAGAGCTGGGTGCAGAGCGCAGCGGCTCCCAACGGCTGGAGGGGGCTCGCTCCCAGCTCGACCGCCAGAACAAGGAGCTGAAACTGAAGCTGCAGGAGCTCGAAGGAACCATCAAGTCCAAGTATAAATCCTCCATCACCACCCTGGAGGCCAAGATGGGTCAGCTGGAAGAACAGCTGGACATCGAGTCAAAGTGAGTGTAGACAGTTTGAAATGCCATTAGAAAATGCTTTGACTGACAAAAATGAAAATCCAGAATTTGTATTTCTTTGTGTCATGACCGCTCTATTTCTGATTTACCTCCTTGATGGTAGCTGTACATTTTTGACAATACATTTCCTCCGGAGATGCTCAAATGTTCAGTAACTGTGTCTGTGTATTCCTGATTCAGTACAGACGGATATATAGTGAGTTCATAAATAAAGCTCCTAACCGTGTACTGATCCCTCATTGCATTTGCTTTTATTCTTTCAGGGAGCGCCAGCAGGCCTCCAGGCTGGTCAGGCGGACGGAGAAGAAGCTGAAAGAGACGATGATGCAGGTTGAAGACGAGAGGCGCAACACGGAGACATTCAAAGAGCAGGTAAACTTCATCACTACTCTGCTTATTACTTTTGATTTCCAGCCTATTAAAGCGAGCAGAGAGATGTCTTTGATATCAGAGAACACACAAAACATTATGTTTTACTTAAAGCATTGACCACTAAGATTAACTTAAAGTATTTTTATAATGCATGTGATTTATAAAATTATATAATAATTATAAAACTAATGTTATGTGTTTTAAAAGTATAATTCACCATGACCCTTGCAAAAGAAAGTTGATCAGTTATCAGCTTTTATGAAATACTACAATACTTAACCTCTTATGGGTCATTGAGAATGCTTTATAATGTGTTATTATTGTTTGTACAAGTGCTTCTAACCCTGATTATACAGCGCTGTAAGTGCTAAAAAGTCTTGTGTAGTTTGATCTGGAATTGCTGATCTGCTTTTGGCACTTGTTCCACTGTTGCTGCTCCCCACACTAAGTGAACCCTCTCTCTTCAGGCGGACAAGACGAACACCCGGATGCGTCAGCTGAAGCGCCAGCTGGAGGAGGCTGAGGAGGAGGTGACGCGGGCCAACGCTTACCGTAGGAAACTGCAGAGGGAGCTGGATGATGCCACAGAGTCAGCAGACAGTACGAACCGTGAAGTCAGCAACCTGAAGAGCAAGCTCAGGTAGTTACCTCAATGTGTCCAACTCCACTAACTTAACACCAGTTAAAAAGTCAAGGAACCCAAGTGATGTATAGCAGGTTTCTCTGCTTGGTTATTAAGACTGCAAATGGAAAGCCTGCATTGCGTACTCTGCATGATTAAAATAATATTTTGGGCAGGAAAATCTGTTGAAGAATACGCTTTTATTAAGTTTCTGAAAAGTTTGTTCTACAGTTTTTCTTTAGTACTACTGCATATTTATAACAAAAATTGCCTTTTTATCGATTTATCCATTTTTGGGATTTGCTTACACACTAATTTTCATTATTTAATATATCAATGAATACTGTATGCTTCATCCATTTCACCTGTGTACTATGTTTGTGCTGCACCTGCAAGTTTTTCAACCATTATTTCTTTGTTTTTAAAGACGTGGGGAAGTTCCTTTCAATATCCGGCGTACCATGAATCGCACGGGGCTGGACAGCGATGATGATGTGGACCTGAAGGCTGATGTAGTTGAGCCTGCTGCTGAGTAAACAGAAGAAAGCAGAGAGGGAATTAATATAATGACCCAGTCAACATGCAGATATAGTGAAAAATTGCCATAAAGTAAGACTTTTTCTGAGAGGATTTAGCCTTGAATTCCCCTTGACATTCATCTTGTAGCCTTAATGTTGTTTTCCATATAACTCATTTATATTTGGCCAAATAATCATATTCATCTCAGTGAATTATTTGTGTTTTTAAAGGCTTTACACATACCTTCCTGGTCTATTTTTCTACTTAATGGGTATACTATGATAAAATATTGCGCTTGTAACAAGCCATTGCAGTTTTATTTGTGCTAGAGGTTTATGTGCTGTCACTGAACAATTTTTGGGAAAAAACACTGGACATTTTCTGCTTGTTTTGCACACAACATGGGTCTTTTGGGAGTTTGGATGCAGTTACTAAGTGTAGTTCACATTTGCTAGTGTCAGTTTATCTACACTGTATGCTTTTCCTCTCACTGTGTCATCTTTTTATGATATTACCTCAACCACTTTTGTACAATGCCAACTCGGACTAAACGGACATAAAAAAGGAAATTGTTCAGTTCTTCACAGGTGGTGTATTCAAAATGCAGAAATGTTGGTGAAAATGTTGTCACAAATTGTGTACCATCATTTAAGTTAACTTGGTTGATGTTTCACTGGTTTTATATCTCATTCATTGTTGGTGGTGGGTCATCATGTAGTAGCACTCACTGTACTATGTTTTTCTTTCCGCTATGCTTTGCACAGTAGAGGGGGTTTCTATAAGCACATCAGCCTCTGAATAATGCATATTTTAGATTAGGTACGATACCCTTACATTGTATTAACAAACGGATAACATTTCATATTGATGCCGATATTTTAAGGCTAATCTCTTTATCTAACGCCTTAAATGCAATAAATTGATAAATCATCAAATGTGTTTGTCTTGTCTCTTCTGTGAGTTAAAACAATTTAAGTTGTTGACTGAAAGGATAGGTCTTTATGTTTTTCTAAGCTGTTTTAAAACAACACTTTCAAACGTATACATTATCATTCATCTTGTCTAATAGCTGTGTGAAGAGCCCTGCCGGAAGCAAATCTTATTATAAGTGATTGGGGACAGCAATATTGTGAAGTAGGTCTCTTTAGTAAGGAATAACATATTTTGGTTTGTAAAGTTATTTTCAAAGCAAATAATTGTCCAAATGGGGAACAACCCGTACTGACTAAAAGACACACAGACGGCTCACATTCATAAGTCTGCTGCCATGAGGGAGAGCTGGAAGTAATAATACCACAACAAGTCTTCAAGTCTCATCAAGCATCCTACAATGGTCTGTGAACGGTAAATATTAATAATATAGTCTCTCTGAGGTTGTACATTCAAATGAACTCAGTAATTTCCCGAGTTGAATTGCAGCACTCCATACCCATTCATTTGTTTATGAAACCTACACCATACATAATCGATTGATAAAGATTATCATTGGCCAAATGTCTCTATGCGTAACAATAGGGTTAGGATAAGATATTTCTGTTTTAAGAAGTTGTGTTGGAATTACACAGGTATGCAGGGCTGTTTGTTGTATTGAAATAGTACTTTACGAAGAAAAATAAGACATCTCGAGGACTGACATTGAACAACAGCGCCGCCCTGAGGCCACTGTAGGAAGGGCATTGAATACTTTTTTTTTTTAAATTAAATACAGAACTCCAAAAAACATTTTATTTGACCAGAAAATATAATAGACAACAATCAGACATTTTTACTGGGAGTCAATCACATTTCTAATAAGATAATTATGGTCTCCTAGCCAGTTGCAACACCCCACGGTAACACAAGGGAGGGAGGAAAGGAAATGATGGAGGTTTCTCGTGGAAAACCTAACCGCAAAATTAACACTTTCTATTATTATATTTCTATACTATATTTCTCTGTGCATTAACTATATTGTTCACATATCGTGCTTATTTTCTAACTAGTAGTGTGTGCGCGTGTGTGTGTGCGCGTGCGTGTGTGCGCGTGCGCGTCGACCACTGGAGGTGAACTTTGTAGCTATGAGCTAACACTCGCAGCAGCACAGCAAGCAGCGATAACATCAGTCAGTCTCTGCTGTAGGACGTTTATAACTGCGGACAAAACTGTCTTTTTACTAAAACAGCTTTTAAGGCTCGACCCGCGTCAGGTCATTAACAGGTTTCGTTTAATTGAGGAAGAGAGCCAGACTTAAGTTAAACAAGTTACTAGAGTGAGCTGCTAGCTTTGACATTAGCTAGCTGACGAGCTTTGCCAGAAAGTTGTGTTTTAGGCAATTTTAAGGTTTACTAAAACAAGACTATTCAGAAACGTATGCAGATAGCAAGAGTACAAACTAAACATGGGGTTCCTGGAGCTGCCAGGTGTGACGATCACCTCCATCATCCCTTAACACACTTCAAAGTCAGGTAAGAAGAGCTAGCATGCTAAGTAAGCTAGGCAGCTAGTGAATGTGTTTTTTTCGCATAAAAAAAACTGTCTCTCATACTGGCAGCTTTTCGGATTTCATACTAACACGTCTCTAATTTTATATCTGACTAGTATTCTGCCTGTCAATGTTAGCCTGTCCTGAGAGGCTCATGTCACCCTGCATGCACTTTAGCATACAGCTAATTAGCTAAACTAGCTTGCTGCTACAGCTCCTTTGAAACGACTTCATTGTTTTTGAAATGTGACCTATGGCTGCCCTTTACTTTCCCAACGTTCAGTATCGTCGGCTGAAATTAACTAGCTCCAAAACGGCAGCACCAAGGGAGAAAGTGGAGCCAGCTTCCAGGTCAAAGATGGAGTTAGCAGCGGTGAGTGCCCTGCATGCTGCTGTTTGTTATGATTGTCATAATGCAGCCACTGTACTTACTCAATCTGTCAGTAAGAGGGTAAATTACCACCTTTTTTATTGGCATTTATGTATTCATCCAAGACAATAAAAGCAGTTAAAATACGATACGATAATACTTACTTTTCAGATCGAGTGTCTTTCATCACACCAGCTCCATTTGCAACATCAACAAGGACACATATTTAAGTCATGATGCAAGGTAAACATACATTTAACATAACATTACAATCACTGAAGAGAAACATGCCCAAGATTTAGGAATGAACTACATTTGAGAATTGACTGGTGCACAAAAACATGCTTCAGTCTAACTATAATATCGTGGGAATCTCATCAATTTGATCTAACAATTCATATTCACTGTTCAGGACATGGTTTGTGTCAAGGAGGTTGTTGTCAGCCAGCTTAAATATTTTATTATGGCATGTTGATTCATTAACCCTCTCAAAAGGTTGACCTCCAATCTTTGAGCCGAATTTCAAAAGTTTGACTTTAAAGTGGTGGACAAGCACGTGCAGGCTACCATGTAGTGTTGCAATACAGTAGAACACTCAGAATAACAGATGTAAAAAAACAAAATAAGTATATATAAAAAAGGAAAATGCTTACAATTGTAATGCTTATTGTATGTGTGTTGTTGGGACCATACAATAATATTCTTATCGGCAGTTTTTTTTTCTTCCGACTTTAACCATTTGACTGTCGTTCAAGCTGCAAGTGTTGATTAATGATTGAAAAGAAACAACCTGTCCAGCTTTATGGCACAACAGTTAAAACTACTATGTGAGAAATACTGAAAAAAAGTACAGTATGTGTGTATGTCAATAATTATTATTATTATTGTATATATGTAGTAAATATATTGACACCCTGATATTAAATTCCACATTTATTTACAATATATCAAAATTGTTCCACAGTAAATAATAGAGATAATCAATTTAGAAATTGTGTGTTTATGGATCAAGTCACTTCATTGAAGTGTCTCCTGCGAATTAAGTGCCTGACAAGAACAATTCAATATAATGACAAAATGCTTATTAAAATCCAGCATAACATCCAGCCTATTTATTCACAGGACATTATGGAATCATGCAGGGTTTTATTCACTTGATTTTGCTGAATTGTTGACCCAGCACACACACAAACACACACACTGAGCCACTTCATGACTCATGTGGTTTGACAAAGATGCACTTCAGCAGTGAGCTTTACAGGGGGGGGGGGGGAAATACAGATGTGTTGGTGTGTCTCTGAAAGATAAAGATAGAAGCCCATAGAAAAACGCGGGCTGGATTAAGCTACTGCTTTGGCGGTGAAACGGGGGGAGGGACGACCAAAAGCAGGAGAAAGCAATTGTGGGTCGGAGAAGAAGAGAGAGGGATAGAATTGGGGGGAGGAAGGTTTTGGATAGATGGATGTTTATTTTACAATATGCTATTTGAAATAGCAGCTTCACAGAGAGAGGGAGGTGACAGAGGGCAACATGCAAGGGAAACAGGATTCTCAGAGCCGAGCCCTCGGCATAAAGGTAGGAGTGTGTGTATGTGTGTAGATAATATACTATATCTACATTCAACATATTGAACGTTGTGTCAAAAGCAGACAGCCTATTTATGGTGGTTTATTTTTTTTTTTGTTTGTTGATGTAATTGTGTTTCTTGCATTATTATAAGCATTTAGTTTTCATCGTTTACTTATTTTTTCTGTTGAACTGTTACCAAATGTGTCTGTCCATGTTTGTATCTTATATTTGTCCATGAGGCATGTAACCACAGATAATGTCTAGTCTCAGTTTAATTTGACCCAACAGCCCCTGTGTGTGTGTATGTGTGTGTGTTTGTGCGTGTGCGTGTGGACTGTCTCTGCACATCTCCATCATTTGAACATGACCCATGCTCTGTGCTACTAACTTGTATTTTCTTGTAATGGAAATGCCATACTAGCATATTAACATTCACATGGAAATCCTTTATATGTATATTAGATAACGTTCATTATTGTGTATGTGGGGCTTATTTCTGTAATGAGTCTGTGGCATTCAACAAGAGGTGACCAATGCCAAGAAAGAAGTGTGACTTAACCTTAACTCTTTGCTTCATCCTTTTCTCTTCCTCTGTAAATCCTCCACTGTTACCCCCCTTCCTCTTCTTTCCTGGTCCACCTTTTGGCATTTCTTTCACCCGTCACTCCTCTCCCTTGTGTCCTCTTCTGTCTTTCCATCGCCCTCTTTTGTAACTCTGTCTGTCATCATCCTCAGGCCCACCCAGCTCTCAAAGCCTTTATGTGTGGCTCTCTCAGCGGCACCTGCTCTACCCTACTCTTCCAGCCTTTGGATCTGATCAAAACACGACTGCAGACCCTGCAGAAAACTGCCAAGCCGGGGTGAGACTACACGCATGTAACACGCACACCTCATGTTTTTGGACAACATACAAACACACACTACATATTTCGTCTGCATGTCATCGGACGACTGTACATGTCCCCGCCAGGTCTTATCTTTCTTTTGCTACTCCTGACTTACTCACACACACAACATGCTCCTCATGGACACAATCCCACAAAAACACACATGCACACACAAATACACAGCATGGGAGAGACACAATTTGCAATCAGTGCTGTGCTGAATCTGCTGGAATGACCCATTTAGGGCAATTAGTCATACCAGCGTGTAATCAAACTGTCAGGCTAGGACTCTGCAATTACTCCACTGGAAACAAGAATCGGAAATGTAAAAGGCTAAAAGTGGATTTTTTATTTAAACAGCGTTCCACAGGTGGAGGCCTTAGTTCACATTTTCAGAAGATAATATCTGTTAATTGGTTGTTTGGTTGTTTAATTGTTAATATCTGATTTATTTTTCACACCACAACAACAAATATTTTGTCTGCGTCTGAATGTATGTTCTTTCACACCTTCAAACGTTTTTTAATTTCATCCTGCAGGGCACCAAGGGTGGGGATGTTCAACGTTTTCATCAACGTTATTAGGACAGAGAAATTCTTCAGTCTGTGGAAAGGAGTTTCACCAGTGAGTAACTGAAGGTTTTCATTATTATTACATTATGGCGCATTTCCACCATGGCGCGGAGCGCGGTTTAAGCGTGCCGGGTCGTGTCGTGCCGTGCCCGTTTTTGGTTGCGCTTCCACTAGGCCTAGTTACGGCCCGGCCCGGCCCGGGGCCACTTTTTCACCTCTTTTCTGGCCCGACAAAATTGTGGTTCTATCGAGGCCAACAAACAGGGCTGAGTCGGGCTGAGTATGCTAAACTAGAGAGAGCATCGCTGGCAAGGGGGCTACAACTACAACAAGATGGACATATTTGACCGTGATTTAATTGTAATACACGTTTCAAAATGATGCCGAAGTAACAACATACTGATACCGGTTAGTAAAAACCATGAATTAATGCTTTGTCAAGTCTGCAGACAGACGGCAGGGGAAAAACCTTTTAAAATGCGTGTTTTCTAAATGGAGATTGGCTAAGCTAACGCAGTATATGCTCCGACCGTCCACACTCACAACAACGGCCTATACAGACATAAATAAAGCAGCGACTGTACTCGTCATGACACAGGCAGTCTGTGGTGTGTACTTGTTTAACTTTTGTCGAGTTTCTGAACATATATAAGGAGCTGTGAGCTCTGAGTGCTAACAGCTAACGGCTGTGTTGTTTTTCTGGGGTTCTCATTGAAGATGACGTCACGGCTCCGCCTACACTGCGTTACTATAGTAACTACCCCAGTTCCTAAACTGTAATGGAAGCGCAGCATGAAGTGAGCCGGCCCTGTTAAGGCCCAACGCGGCCAAGCAGTACCGAGCGTGGCCGAGGCCGACCGTGTGGTGGAAATGCGCCATTACATTACATGTTACTTGTTAGACGCTTTTATCCAAAGCGACTTACACACTCAATACTGTGGACAATCACCACAGGAGCAATTTGGGGTGAAGTGTCTTGCCCAGGAACACAACGACATGCTGACTGCAGTGGGGTTCGAACCTGTGACCCCCTGATCGGAACACCAACGCACAACCCACTGCGCCACACGCCTCACATATCATTTACAAAATAAATATGCAGTCTCAAATGCTGTTGGTTCTTCCTTAAAAGAAGAAGAATTCATGTTCTGATTATCACTGGTGTTGGATTTTTATTTTTGAGCTCAAGCTACCATCACATTAAGCAAATATAAGAAATGTTTATGACTTCATTTCTTTTCTCTCTTCCAGTCATTTGTGCGCTGCATCCCCGGCGTGGGCATCTACTTCAGCACCTTCTACTCCCTGAAGCAGCACTACTTCCTGGAGCGCTCGCCCAACGCTGGAGAGGCAGTTCTGCTGGGAGCGGGGGCCAGAACCGTGGCTGGCGTCAGCATGCTGCCCTTCACTGTCATCAAGACGCGCTTTGAGGTGAGCGGCAGTTTCTTTACATACAGACAGACCTCATTATGACCTCAATATCAGACGCATGTTTAGAACAAGTGACAATAAATCCAGGAGAAGTATTTAATGAACACCACAAGAAAATAAGCTAATTTGTGTGGGGATATAATCTTTGAGTCTTATTTTGTAGTGATGTGCATGTAGTAACTGTTTCATAATGACTATTTCAAGATACAGTATTAATCCCGGCTACAAAGTTCTGATCAAAACTGGGGACACAAACTTCAATGAGCAAAGAACGCGAAAAAAAACGTCTGAAACGAGGCAAAAAGTAATAATACTTTTGCTGCAGTAAAAACAGAAGGGGTTATTTAAAACAGTTTTGTAATTGAAAGTAATTGAAAATAAAGTAGTAGTAACTTAAATCTCTTGTACTTCCTTCATCTTATGTCTTGTGGAGTTGGGCTTAGTTTTTACTGACATGCCACTGTTTAGCCTTACATAACAAATGTTGTGAACAGTGAACCTTGGAAGTATCTGTGAGACCTTGTACCAAATAAATCACCCTTACACTAGGATCCATAAATGAATGACTACCATCTACAACTTGTAGTACAGATCCCTCTTCTTTAACACTGTAAAAAAGGTAACGGTATAAATGAACCATATTCATTTTCCTTGTTCATACGTTGTTTTAGAGTGGCTGTTACAATTATGTGAGCGTGGCAGGGGCTCTGAAGAGTGTGTATAAGACGGAGGGAGTCAGGGCTCTGTTCTCAGGCCTGACTGCCACGCTGCTCCGAGACGCTCCCTTCTCCGGCATCTACGTCATGTTCTACAGCCAGGCCAAGAAGGCGCTGCCTGAAGGTGAGAGCACTGCGTCAGCAAATCAAGATGGAGGTCATTAAAATGTAGAGCATGGTTTTCTCTAGCTGCAGGTAGTGAGTGCTGTCCTTGTACTGCAGAACATCATTCAAGTGTATAGTGAACGGTTTAGTGCTTTCCAATATTTGGCCTACAAAGGTTTCTGTGCCTATACTGTATGTCTTAAACCTAAACAAACATGTATTTTCCCAGGTAGTCAGCAGCACAAAGTGGGTTGAAACCACCTGTTTTTATCTGCAATGTCATTTCAAAATGTAACCAATTATTAATTTAATAATATTAGACATTTGTGTGTAATTATCATAATTAGCATAAACAGTCTTGTACGTACAATTACGTGTTATATGATGTTTCAATGACCTTTGGACATTTGTTCCTAATTTGAAGAAATCAGAAAATTCAGATAGCATGTTGACCACTGTTTTAATTTTTTTAATTACAACAACACGTCCAGTGCTCTATTGTTTGTTAAATATGTGTTTCCTTTCTCTCAGAGGTGAGTTCGTCGGCCTATGCCCCGCTGGTGAACTTCAGCTGTGGGATGGGGGCGGGCGTCATGGCGTCGCTGGCCACACAGCCGGCAGACGTGGTGAAGACACACATTCAAGTCAGCCCGTCCCACTGGAGCACCACTAATGCTATCCGCTACATCTACAGGGTGTGTGCTCATTGAATTACCGCTGTCCATTTTTATCTTACTGCATGTGAATGTTAATTAGAGAAAAGTCACACATATTCTTGTTGGCAGGAAAGATGAAGTTTGACCATAACATACTGAAATGTCCTGCTCTGTTTTCTCTCAGGAGCACGGCATGGCCGGGTTTTTCCGCGGGGCCGTCCCGAGGTCTCTGCGACGCACACTGATGGCCGCTATGGCTTGGACTGTCTACGAACAGCTAATGGCTCGGATGGGCCTCAAATCCTGAAGAGCATCAGTGTTAAATAACACTGGATGGAATATGAGTGGATATAGATTCACATTATGTTATCACTGAAGGCCCCATGAGAGAAGAAACAAGGAGCTCGTAGAGACGATGAATCGGCACTCCCAAGATCTTTCAGAATAGGAACCAGGTGGATAAATGTGAGAGAGAGAATGCTGTGACTGAGTTATTGTTGATATTGTAAATGTTTGTGAAAATGTGTCTGTAAGTCTGAAATTGTGATGTAACACCTGACATGTCCACCTAGGGCTGAACGTGACACTCCCTGCTGTGAAGTGAAATGATTCCTCATCTCACTATTTATGTTTTTTCTGGCTGCGGCTTAGAAAAGATTGCCCTTGACATTGAGGGGGTGTGATTGCTAGTGACTCAGCAGACTGCACGATACATCTGCTGAGCCAACCAAAAGCAAATCACTGCAGAGAGAGGGCTCCGGCCTCTGCCATATTTTAGGAACTTGCATGAGATTGGCCAACCTTTCTTACTCGCCAATTGTCAAGCAGGCTCAGACAATCATAGGCACTCACCCAGCTGCATTCTGGGAAGAAAATCACAATAAAGCCTTTATTGCAATACTGCTTTAAACTGTGCCAACTTAAAGTTTAAACACACCTGTGATGCATTGAGTGACTCAGCATAGTCAAACCAGATGTGCTTTTAAAAAAAAAGGCTTAAGAGATGTAGCAGAACAAATATTCAGACCTGTGGCAGCATTTCAGTCGGTTCATGATTTTTGTAATTAAAATGCTTAATTATTATTTGGGGGAGCATAACAACACCAATGTTTACTTGTATTTAAGTAAGCACTTTAATAATTTGACCTCTTTTTATATACATAAGTACATGTTTTCATTCCTGATTCACCTAATGTTATCATATTTGCAGAACATTTTACTTGCAAGTAAAGCATTGCTTACTCACTGTGTTTATAAAAGTGGTACAGAATATATCATATCAGTGCTGGAGTGAACCTTGACCTTTACCACCATCTTCCTGGCTTTGTACATATTTAACTAAATACGGTATTATTGGTTGTAACAAATGAAAGTCCTATTTTTATGTTCATTGTACAGTCTGCCTTTCACTATAAACAGTATTTATTTATTGTAATTGATATAAAAAGAGGTGATATATTGAAAATGATTATTATGGTGTTGATAGAAATAACGCCAAATGGAAAATCTCACAAGTAGAAGGAATTGAAAGACTTAACTTTATTTTGGAAAATGGATCATTACACAACACACTGAAGCTTTTATTGATAAGATGACAGAAAGGCTTCTAACGTCTGTGATCTGTGATGTAAGGAGGAAGGTTGTGAAGCAAAAATAACGACAGTAGTTTTCTGTGTTTACTGTGTAACACAAACCGTGTTTCTAAATGTGATGTCATTCATACATGGAAGTATTACCTCGTGGATAAACTTCATCATCTCTCCGTTGATCCTCTGTTGTGACTATATTGTTTATGGTCAATGTTATTGTAGATATGTTGTCTGTGCATGTGTTTGCTCAGACAGACGCTGTGCCTGCCTGGTTTTTAAATGTCAATAAATTGTTCTCTTTTAAAAAGAAAATAGATTTTTCTTTATTTTGACACAAGAAAGAAAATTGACTTTGCTTTCTGGTGGATTTCTCTACATTTCTTGATAGCAACCGTCAAATCAACCATACCAAACAGTTTCAACCCCGTTAAGGAGAGCATGCATGTTACTTAAACATTGTCAGAGCCACTAGACATTCATTTTGCACAGCCAAAACCACAAGCCACAATATAATATATATATATCTATGTATGTCAAATATATAGGCCTATATCATATATTAAATATAAATGTTACACAAAAAATATATCAATGTTAAACAGTTATTGAGGTCTTAAAGCTCTACTCTATAGAATGTTTGTACTTTTTCAAATGGATTGGTTTGAATAATTATTAAATAAAACATTCATTATTAATTATTTATCTTTTAATAAGCATGCTCATAGGGCTGCTCAATTAATCGTATTTTAATCGCAATTACGATTTTGGCCTGCAACGATTATGAAAACAACATAATCGAAATAAAATTGTTTTTTCAGTTGAATTATACTTAAAGTTCAGGGTAATCAACTGTTAAAAACATACTGTTCAACATTTGTTTTCAATAAATGGATGTTTTCAAAGTAAATGGATAATTGTTTTTAATAATCGTGATATCAATTATTGACCCAAATAATCGAGATAATGATTTTTGCCATAATCGAGCAGCCCTACATTCTCACAACCTTTCAACATTTCAAATAATATTTTAGTTGGAGGATTGTTAGATATCGACCTGGCACTTTAGTTTCTAAATTCACTTAAAATTCACACAGACGCAAACAAGATGCGAATTAAAGCTAAAATCACAAACAAAAACGTTGTCATGATACAATTGCCAGTTTTAGTATAAAGTTAAACTAAAGTCCTGTAAAAAGACGTGTATTATTTGGACTGAGCATTTTCAAACAAAATCAAACATTTAACCTGCAGCCACTGCTAAAACCTGAAATATCATGAATGAGACCTAATAGCAGATGAAGTTGAGTTGTTCATTGCAGTCCCAGTTCTCCCACAGTCCCTCTTTGGTTAAAGCTCCACAGCGTTTATACATTGGACAATGGTGGTCCTGGTCTCCTTGGGGCCAGGCCTCGTACTGCAGAGGGTCTCCATTCACCCACAGCCAGTGGTCCCCCAGGTAACGCAGGCCGATCCACACCCGCTCAGTGATGTTGTCGTGCTTGATCTCTCTCAAGGCCAACAGGTGCTCGGTCTCAGAGGTCAGGCTGGTGAGTGCTGTGTGATTCTGTTTGCAGTGCAACATCGCCTGCTCCCAGTTCGCCTTGTACTCAGACACGATCAGATTGAAGCATAAAAAATGACTCCAACGATGGGTTGGATGGACATTGTGCCATCCATTAGTGCAGCTGGGCAAACAAACAAGAGCAACTGTCTCCCAGCCTAAGTTATATGGTTGCCCACCAGCCCACGGTAAGTATGTTGCTTCTCCTCCTCCAGACCACATCCAGGTTGTTCCATTCATGTAGAGACCAATGAAGAAATAACCGCTCAGTTTCCCGATTGACGCATTTTTTAGACTCTCTTCCTCCCATGGTGTAGTGATGGGGGTCAGATCAGTGTGATGATCTCTGCAATACTGTTGAGCTACAGGCCATGTAGCGCCAATTGCTGGATAAACATGCTTTCCAATCTGCTCAGACACACACACAATAAAGAGCATTTGAATGAAGAAAATCTCCATGGTGGTAAGAGATAATTGTAGAGATGAGTACAAGGCGTGATGTGTTGAAGGGGAATCCTGTGTTCAGTGTGGTCCCTCTGTTCTCCCTAATAGGTCAGTGAATGCCTCCTGCTGCTGAAGGAGTTGTTTTGCATAAGATATGCATACTTCAAAATGGGTTGAGACATAAACCATGTGATTAAAACATCATTGGTTCAACTATAGATGGGAACCTTTGATGCCTGTTAACCCTACTCTCTCCCCATGTTCCCCAAAGAAAAAGGAGTTGTAGAAATCACACTAATAAAGCAAGCGTTTAATCTAGTGAAGTGAAATTATGTATATGCATCCAGTTTTGTTTAGAACTGGCCGAATCTAGAAATGACTATGTTGGATCATTTCTGACATACAGATATTCATTTAAAGGTTCGGCCACTTATCACAGGTCTCTCTTGAAAATGAGACCTTGTGTCTCAATGAGATTTTACACCTGTATAAATAAAGGCTAAATAAAATAAAATAAAAATCACCTACTGGTAAAGATGAATGTGTGTTTATGAGGATTTAGATCAAATGTTAAGCAAAATATTGAAGGCTAGGGATGCAATTTAGTGTGTGTCCTTTGCTGGTGCTGCTGCAGTTGATAATGAAACATATAGATTGCCTCTCATTCAATTATCAGCCTTGTGGTGTCACGGTGAATGTCCCAGCATGCAATGAGTGGAAATGTAGATTTCTTACTGAGGAGGGCGCTTGACCCACAATGTCAATATTATATCAATATTGTGATATAATAATGGAAATTGTCTTTCAGTGTTGATATCCTAATATGAAATACAAAGTGTTGTCTTTTCCCGATTATATAGGCTGCATTACATTAAAGTGATGTACTTTTTTGAAATGACCAGACTGTTCTAGCTGCTCTATGGATTGGCTTTATCCTCCTAGTCATTATTCTCACATTTGTCAACAATTATTCAATTTTTTTAATGCACAACACTTTATCGTCAAAATATCAATATGTAATCTTTATGGAATTTAATCAAAAATAATGTGATATAAAATGTTTCCATATTGCTTCGTCGCATTCATCTTTCTAGATCCTCTGTCTCGAGCCAGTGAACTATCTATGGAAGCCTGTTTGCGCCACAGGAAAAAAAGGAAAATCCTGTAAGTCAATATATTGACTTATATCTCAATATATTGACTTACTATCTCAATATATTGACTTATTATCTCAATATATTGACTTATATCTCAATATATTGACTTACTATCTCAATATATTGACTTAGCTATCTCAATATATTGACTTATTATCTCAATATATTGACTTACTATCTCAATATATTGACTTACTATCTCAATATATTGACTTACTATCTCAATATATTGACTTATATCTCAATATATTGACTTACTATGTCAATATATTGACTTACTATCTCAATATATTGACTTATATCTCAATATATTGACTTATTATCTCAATATATTGACTTACTATCTCAATATATTGACTTACTATCTCAATATATTGACTTACTATCTCAATATATTGACTTACTATCTCAATATATTGACTTAGCTATCTCAATATATTGAGTTATATATTTTTATTTTTATTGAAACAATTATGTCAAATACAGAATAAGGCACATAGACATCAATGTTCATCATATAAGCGGTACAACTTGATATTAAGGTACACAAATTCACCATCAATAGTTGTTAATTAACATGCATATTAGCTGTATATTGTCTCTTTATTAGTCATTATAAAACACTTATTAATGCCTTATTCTACAAGTAATCTGTGTATGTTACACTTGCATGTATGAGATCATTAAGTGCCTTGTAACTTATTATTTTTATAGTTTCACTCCGTTTGAATGTCAGTGGACTGCAAATAAGTCAATAAAGGAGCATGGCTGCTCATTCCCTGGCTCTCAAAAGAGTTTGGCTGGCTGTTTAATCTATGTTCAAACTGAGACAGTACAACACATAGAGAGAACAGTGCATCTATTGTGTAAGTACATACAAGCAGGTCACACAGTATGATCACAAATACATAAACTCTGTTAAAAATCAGTTTTATTAAAAGGTACAGGCTGCATATGTGTTCTCAGCCTTGGAGAAACTTCACATGTTTTGGTATGTGTCTGAACCTCTCTTTAGTGGTTCATTAATAAAACAGATATTTCAACGTGAGCCTACTTTGTTCATGTACTGTTGAGGTTAATTTCAGTAGTTGTGTGCTATAATGTATTTACAAAGTGTGAAGAGGAGGCAACTTTAGAATAGGGAACCTGTTCAGGTAAATTAGAGTCAAACTACTAGCTTATTGATTATGAACAAGACTTCACTTTAAACTAGGGAACATATTCTTAGATAGAAATACCTAATTTTGAGTTATTTAGACATATTGAGGAGAGTATATTAAGACCAAAGCTCATGTACAACAACTTCCTTACTTGCAATAAATAAGGACTAATTAGAGGGTTATTGAGGAAAAACTCTCAACTAATGGCCTATTACTTGTAGAATATGGTCATGTAGAATAAGGCATTAATAAGTGTTTTATAAAGACTAATAAAGAGCCAATATACTGCTAATATGCATGTTAATTAACAACTAGTTGATGGTTAATTTGTGTACCTTAATATAAAGTTGTACCGCTTATATGATGAACATTGATGTCTATGTGCCTTATTCTGTATTTGACATAATTGTTTCAATAAAAAATATATATATAACTCAATATAATGAGATAGCTAAATCAATATATTGAGATAGTAAGACAATATATTGAGATAGCTAAGTCAATATATTGACTTACAGGATTTTTTTTTTTTTTTCCTGTGGCGCAAACAGGCTTCCATAGTTGAAGGATATTCTACCCAGAGACCCAGACAAATATCTGATTGGTTGCATTTCTTTTGAAGGCCCTGACGGTTCGCCACTGATTTTTATATATATTTGTATTTTTGTATTCGGAATTGTGGGAAATCTCTATCTCTTGTGTTTATTTTATTATCTTTGCTTTTTAAAATGCCTGTTTTTAAATGCCTTTTTATAATATGCTTCCACTGTATTTATTCATAAATGTCTTTTATTTTGTTTTGTAAAGCACTTTGGGTTGCCGTGTCCTGAAAGGTGCTGTATAAATAAACTTGCCTTGCCTTGCCTTGTACACACAAACTGAAAGATTGACAATGAAGTTGACTTTGTCTTTGACCAGCACTAGCCAGAGGCAAATAAATCACGACACGAGTTCGCAATTCTTAAGCTGGAGTCAGTGAAGCGTCCTTGCATTTTCCTAAAGAACGATAAGCTCAGGTACATTATTTCCATTTCACCATCACCAGCAATTTGCTAAAGCTGGTCCATCCTCCCAAACATGACCTGAGCCTGAGGGGAAAGTGTCACATTCAAATATCTGGGTGTCTCTTCAACAAATGTTCACCTGACCATTCAAATTAATTGAGGATTTCACAAAACAGCTGAACTCTTTCCATGGTTGGTAGTGACTTTCAGATCATATAGTTTGTTGTCACTGTTGTGTTCTCTTTATACATCCATGGTTGTGACCATGTGGTGATATAGAAACTATTAGCTCTGAAGGCTGGTGAAATTAGCTCTGTCGAAATAAAAGTACGTTCAGACAAACAAAGCAATCAAAGCATAACAAGTATTTTTTTTCTACACTGAAACAAATTAACATATATTTTGCAAATCTCAGTAGCTGCATAAATTACAACATCTGGAATAAAGTACATTTTTAGGCAACACGACCTTTGACAAGGTCAGCCTAATGCACTGTATGCAGGAGGTGATGTGTAACTTATCTGACTTACTAAAAAATGGGTTTAATAGGAATGGGATGTAGTTTTGGGGAAATTAACACAATAACTAAATAAAACAGAGGAGTAATTTATCTTCCAAAATATAAACAAAACAAATAGTCCAGGCTTTTATAAACGCGCTCAAAAGTGGATATATATTTGATACCAAAATCATTCAGTTGAATGAGAGTTAATTTATGTTATTAATTCAGAGTCAGGCTTGGTACTGTGCGCAGCGGACCTGACAGGCAGCACTCGGGGCATAGAGACTAAAATATATAAAAACGACGCCACTTCCTGTCTCGCTCCCTTTCGACCGCGAGGCGCTGGTCCCTGCAAGTCTTGTACACGTGGTGAGAAATATAACTGAATTACCGTCTTATTATTACACTCTGTAAGGATTAACATGTAAGAAAAGCTATAACTATGCTGCAGGGATACATTAATGAACTCACTTTAATGGCTGCATTGCGTTTAATGTATATACGGGGCATGCACAACACAACTCTTGAGCCAGTGGTAAAAAATAACTAACTAGCTAAATTGCATCTATCGTCCCTGGGCAGGAATACATGTTTAAAAACTACCAATAATTTGCTAAAAATGATTTCCCTTTTTATATCAGGGATGCAAACTTGTCACCTTTCGGCGAAATTCGCCGTTTTGATTCCAAAATAGGTCGTTTGTGTGATTCATGTAGATCTGCAATAAAAATATGTTTGGGGTATGGGGGGGGTCTGGGACCCGGAATAATCTGCGGCCGCGAGCTGTTATGTGCCATCATGACACGCATGGTGTTCTTTTTTTATATATTATAATGAAGCGCGAGCACAAGTCTTCCTGCCTGTCAGCTCTGATCATGGATGTATAATAAGGCTCTGCTGCTCCGGGATGAGGGTCTAGCTTCAGCAGCTACATTACCTACGGTGCGTTCGTTAATATTAACTGTGCGGTCCAGAGTCACTGTGGCACAGACTGGACCGCTGGTTAGAACGGGGTGTTCGGAGCAGCAGAGCGTGATGTGCACTGAAAAGTGTTTCTGTCGCAATATTATTTAATGAATCGTTGAGCTAGCTAACTAGCATACATTGTCACTATCTGCTAACGTTAGCTTTAGCCTTCGTTTTCAAATAGTTTCTTTCATAGCCTATAAACGGAGGTGGTATAAGTATCTTGTACTTGAGTAAAAGTAGAAGTACTCAGATCTTGTTCTTGAGTACAAGTTGAAGTACTCAGGTCTTGTACTTGAGTACAAGTAGAAGTACTCAGATCTTGTTCTTGAGTACAAGTAGAAGTACTCAGATCTTGTACTTGAGTAAAAGTAGAAGTACCAGAGTGTAGGAATACTCTGTTACAGTAAAAGTCCTGCATTCAAAATGTTCCTCAAGTAAAAGTAGAAAAGTATTATCATCAAAATATAGTTAAAGTAGCAACAGCAAAAGTAGTCATTGTGCAGATTGGTCCATTTCAGAATAATATATATGATATGTTTTATAATGATTGATCATTAAAGTGTTATCAAAGCTGGTAAAGGTGCAGCTAGTTTGAATGACTTTGTATACTGCAGGGTAGCTTGTGAATTTACTCCAGGTGGAACTAAAGTCTGATTTAACACTTGATTATATTTCACATCATTCATCCACATCTGTGAAGTAACTAAAGGTATTCAATACATGTAGTAGAGTAAAAGTACACCATTTACCTCTGAACTGTAGAGGAGAAGAAGAACAAAGTAGCAAAACATTGAAATACTTAAATAAAGTACAAGTATCTAAAAATTGTACCCAAGTATAGTACTTGAGTTTATGAACTTAGTTACTTTACACCACTGGCTATAAAGATAGAAAGACAGCCTTGCACAGAGGCATGAAAATACATTTTCAAAATGCTCAACAGTGCTGCCAACATTATAAACTGACTGCTACACAATTAAAATAAATGCTTTTATATATTTCTATTAGATGTGACTCTTTGGCGTTTCTGTTATTATTAACTGCTGCTTTAGTTGTTCTGACTGCTAAAATCCTCTGTTATTCCTCATTTTAAAGCCGATATTCCGTGGGGTCGGGGGGCTCGGATCCTTGTCACCTTTTTCATACCTGATGAGTTTGCATCCCTGTTATATAGACGCACACCATTAAAGCCTTGCACTGATCTCGTCTGTGTTTGGGTGTCGAAGTGTGCCACAGTAACATGGCCGGGTTTTCGCTAACACCATTAGGACTGCTGTCCCATGACTGGAGTTTGATAGTGACCTGTGCCACATTTTAACATTTAAAGAGCAGGAATGTGTGTGTGTATGTATGTATGTATGTATATATATGTATGTATGTATGTATGTATGTATGTATGTGTGTGTGTGTGTGTGTGTGTGTATATATATATATACACTTTTAAAAAAAACGACAATGGTTTGCAAAACAATACCAAAGATGAAATACAAAGATCAAGATGTCGACCCATACTGACTCAAATAACTCGATAGTGGGACTTTGAGAATGGATCCCAACAATTAAAAACGAAATCTAAAAACTTTTTCTTTTTTCTCTTCTTCCAGCTTTCCCATCAAACTCATAACTCAGTAGACACGATGTCTGGATGTGCTGTAGATGCAGGAGGAGGATGTTCTGACCTTCATTGTAGCAGGAACCAACCTGGCTCTCAGATGGAGCAGCATCTGCAAAAGATACTGACAGTGAGTTTTGACTAATAGTTCATGATTCTTTACCAATTCCAGCATAAATAATTAAAACCTGTTTCACTTTCCTAATGACAGTAGGTCTGTCCAAAAGTAGGACCATTACACCAATTTGTACGAGATGTTCTGTTAAAGCAAGAGCATTCCATCAAAAACTAAACACAAATTTGACTATCGTCTTCTTCCACATGAAAGTTGAAAATATAAGCTTACAAACATGGATCAATTCAGTTCTCGTTTCACTGTTAGTTTGATGACTTTGTTTTTATCTTATGCAATTGCACTTGAGGTCACATTATATATAGCTAGCCTTGTTTTTGTATATTTTAAGTTGTATTTCATTGCAGTAAACATGCAGCACACCATTAAAGCCTGGCACTGATCTCGTCTGTGTTTGGGTGTCGAAGTGTGCCACAGTAACATGGCCGGGTTTTCGCTAACATCAGTAGGACTGCTGTCCCATGACTGGAGTTTGATAGTGACCTGAGCCACATTTGAACGTTGGAGGGCAGGAATATACATTAAAAAAAATAAAAGTTTACCAAAAATAGTAATGATTTGAAGAAATGCCCCGATACTGACTCAAATAACTGGGTAGTGGGATGATTACAATAGGTCAGATCTGAATACAAAATAAATTCATAAAATTGAAGAAAAAGCTTGACCTTGATAGTTGACTTGCTAATTATCCGATCCCCAAACTCTGTTGCTATGTGTCAAGCTTCATTGTGTGTTTTCCTCTCCAGGTAGTGTGTACTTAACAATGTGATGGAGACCTGGGAACAGCCAGAGCCATTTGGTGCCTATTGAACCTGGGCATGTTGGCATCCTCTCCTCCAGGAATACAGAGCAGGTCTGTATATGCACAAAGCTTTATGTTGCATGTTTTATTATAAAAGTAGTTCTGTCCTAAAGTAGAACCATTACATCAATTTGTACTTGATGTGTTTTGTTAAAGCAAGAGCATGCCACAAAAAACTAAATGCAAATTAGACTATCTTTGTCTTCCACATGAAAGTTGAAAATATAAGCATTCAGTACTCTCGTTTCACTGTTAGTTTGACACTACTTTGACACTACTTTGATAGACTTTAAATTGTATTCCATAGCATTAAACATGCAGCACACCATTAAAGCCTGGCACTGATCTCGTCTGTGTTTGGGTGTCGAAGTGTGCCACAGTAACATGGCCGGGTTTTCGCTAACATCAGTAGGACTGCTGTCCCATGACTGGAGTTTGATAGTGACCTGAGCCACATTTTAACTTTAAAGTGCGAGAATATACTGACTCAAATAACTGGATAGTGGTACGATTACAATGGGGCCTATCTGAATAAAGAAATGCATTCATAACGTTTAAGCAAAAGCTTGACCTTGCCAGTAGAATGGCTAATCGGATGACCAAGCTGTGTGTCGAGCTTCATTGTGTTTTCCTCTCCAGGTAGTGTGTACTTTATACCGTGATGCAGACCTGGGAACAGCCGGAGCCATTTGGTGCCTCTTGAACCTGGGCATGGTGGCATCCTCTCCTCCAGGAATACAGAGCAGGTCTGTATAGGCACAAAGCTTTATGTTGCATGTTTTATTATAAAAGTAGTTCTGTCATAAAGTAGGACCATTACATCAATTTGTACTTGATGTGTTTTGTTTAATCAAGAGCATGCCTAAAAAAAACACAAATTAGACTATCTTTGTCTTCTACATGAAATGACTCTGTACTCTCGTTTCACTGTTAGTTTTATCTTATGCAATTGCACTTAAGTTCAAATCACAGGACAAGCTAGCCTTGTTTTAATGCTGGTATTTGCTTTGATAGACTTTAAATTGTATTCCATAGCATTAAACATGCAGCACACCATTAAAGCCTGGCACTGATCTCGTCTGTGTTTGGGTGTCGAAGTGTGCCACAGTAACATGGCCGGGTTTTCGCTAACATCAGTAGGACTGCTGTCCCATGACTGGAGTTTGATAGTGACCTGAGCCACATTTGAACGTTGTAGGGCAGGAATATACATTTACAAAATTAAAGTTTACAAAAAATAGTAATGATTTGAAGAAATGCCCCGATACTGACTCAAATAACTGGGTAGTGGGATGATTACAATAGGTCAGATCTGAAAACAAAATAAATTCATAAAATTGAAGAAAAAGCTTGACCTTGATAGTAGACTGGCTAATTATCCGATCCCCAAACTCTGTTGCTATGTGTCAAGCTTCATTGTGTGTTTTCCTCTCCAGGTAGTGTGTACTTAACAATGTGATGAAGACCTGGGAACAGCCAGAGCCATTTGGTGCCTCTTGAACCTGGGCATGTTGGCATCCTCTCCTCCAGGAATACAGAGCAGGTCTGTATAGGCACAAAGCTTTATGTTGCATGTTTTATTATAAAAGTAGGTCTGTCCTAAAGTAGAACCATTACATAAATTTGTACTTGATGTGTTTTGTTAAAGCAAGAGCATGCCACAAAAAACTAAATGCAAATTAGACTATCTTTGTCTTCCACATGAAAGTTGAAAATATAAGCATTCAAACATGGATCAATTCAGTACTCTCGTTTCACTGTTGGTTTGACACTACTTTGATAGACTTTAAATTGTATTCCATAGCATTAAACATGCAGCACACCATTAAAGCCTGGCACTGATCTCGTCTGTGTTTGGGTGTCGAAGTGTGCCACAGTAACATGGCCGGGTTTTCGCTAACATCAGTAGGACTGCTGTCCCATGACTGGAGTTTGATAGTGACCTGAGCCACATTTTAACTTTAAAGTGTGAGAATATACTTTTTTTTTTTTTTTTAAATAACAATAGTTTCCAAAACGAATTGCAAATGAAGAAATGCACCGATACTGACTCAAATAACTGGATAGTGGTACGATTACAATGGGGCCTATCTGAATAAAGAAATGCATTCATAACGTTTAAGCAAAAGCTTGACCTTGCCAGTAGAATGGCTAATCGGATGACCAAGCTGTGTGTCGAGCTTCATTGTGTTTTCCTCTCCAGGTAGTGTGTACTTTATACCGTGATGCAGACCTGGGAACAGTCGGAGCCATTTGGTGCCTCTAGAACCTGGGCATGTTGGCATCCTCTCCTCCAGGAATACAGAGCAGGTCTGTATAGGCACAAAGCTTTATGTTGCATGTTTTATTATAAAAGTAGTTCTGTCATAAAGTAGGACCATTACATCAATTTGTACTTGATGTGTTTTGTTTAATCAAGAGCATGCCTAAAAAAAACACAAATTAGACTATCTTTGTCTTCTACATGAAAGGACTCTGTACTCTCGTTTCACTGTTAGTTTTATCTTATGCAATTGCACTTAAGTTCAAATCACAGGACAAGCTAGCCTTGTTTTGATGCTGGTATTTGCTTTGATAGACTTTAAATTGTATTCCATAGCAGTAAACATGCAGCACACCATTAAAGCCTGGCACTGATCTCGTCTGTGTTTGGGTGTCGAAGTGTGCCACAGTAACATGGCCGGGTTTTCGCTAACATCAGTAGGACTGCTGTCCCATGACTGGAGTTTGATAGTGACCTGAGCCACATTTGAACGTTGGAGGGCAGGAATATACATTTAAAAAAAATAGTAATGATTCGAAGAAATGCCCCGATACTGACTCAAATAACTGGGTAGTGGGATGATTACAATAGGTCAGATCTGAATACAAAATAAATTCATAAAATTGAAGAAAAAGCTTGACCTTGATAGTAGACTGGCTAATTATCCGATCCCCAAACTCTGTTGCTATGTGTCAAGCTTCATTGTGTGTTTTCCTCTCCAGGTAGTGTGTACTTAACAATGTGATGAAGACCTGGGAACAGCCAGAGCCATTTGGTGCCTCTTGAACCTGGGCATGTTGGCATCCTCTCCTCCAGGAATACAGAGCAGGTCTGTACTGTATATGCACAAAGCTTTATGTTACATGTTTTATTATAAAAGTAGGTCTGTCCTAAAGTAGAACCATTACATCAATTTGTACTTGATGTGTTTTGTTAAAGCAAGAGCATGCCACAAAAAACTAAATGCAAATTAGACTATCTTTGTCTTCCACATGAAAGTTGAAAATATAAGCATTCAGTACTCTCGTTTCACTGTTAGTTTGACACTACTTTGATAGACTTTAAATTGTATTCCATAGCATTAAACATGCAGCACACCATTAAAGCCTGGCACTGATCTCGTCTGTGTTTGGGTGTCGAAGTGTGCCACAGTAACATGGCCGGGTTTTCGCTAACATCAGTAGGACTGCTGTCCCATGACTGGAGTTTGATAGTGACCTGAGCCACATTTTAACTTTAAAGTGCGAGAATATACTGACTCAAATAACTGGATAGTGGTACGATTACAATGGGGCCTATCTGAATAAAGAAATGCATTCATAACGTTTAAGCAAAAGCTTGACCTTGCCAGTAGAATGGCTAATCGGATGACCAAGCTGTGTGTCGAGCTTCATTGTGTTTTCCTCTCCAGGTAGTGTGTACTTTATACCGTGATGCAGACCTGGGAACAGCCGGAGCCATTTGGTGCCTCTAGAACCTGGGCATGTTGGCATCCTCTCCTCCAGGAATACAGAGCAGGTCTGTATAGGCACAAAGCTTTATGTTGCATGTTTTATTATAAAAGTAGTTCTGTCATAAAGTAGGACCATTACATCAATTTGTACTTGATGTGTTTTGTTTAATCAAGAGCATGCCTAAAAAAAACACAAATTAGACTATCTTTGTCTTCTACATGAAAGGACTCTGTACTCTCGTTTCACTGTTAGTTTTATCTTATGCAATTGCACTTAAGTTCAAATCACAGGACAAGCTAGCCTTGTTTTAATGCTGGTATTTGCTTTGATAGACTTTAAATTGTATTCCATAGCATTAAACATGCAGCACACCATTAAAGCCTGGCACTGATCTCGTCTGTGTTTGGGTGTCGAAGTGTGCCACAGTAACATGGCCGGGTTTTCGCTAACATCAGTAGGACTGCTGTCCCATGACTGGAGTTTGATAGTGACCTGAGCCACATTTGAACGTTGGAGGGCAGGAATATACATTTACAAAATTAAAGTTTACAAAAAATAGTAATGATTAGAAGAAATGCCCCGATACTGACTCAAATAACTGGGTAGTGGGATGATTACAATAGGTCAGATCTGAAAACAAAATAAATTCATAAAATTGAAGAAAAAGCTTGACCTTGATAGTAGACTGGCTAATTATCCGATCCCCAAACTCTGTTGCTATGCGTCAAGCTTCATTGTGTGTTTTCCTCTCCAGGTAGTGTGTACTTAACAATGTGATGAAGACCTGGGAACAGCCAGAGCCATTTGGTGCCTCTTGAACCTGGGCATGTTGGCATCCTCTCCTCCAGGAATACAGAGCAGGTCTGTACTGTATATGCACAAAGCTTTATGTTGCATGTTTTATTATAAAAGTAGGTCTGTCCTAAAGTAGGACCATTACATCAATTTGTACTTGATGTGTTTTGTTAAAGCAAGAGCATGCCACAAAAAACTAAATGCAAATTAGACTATCTTTGTCTTCCACATGAAAGTTGAAAATATAAGCATTCAAACATGGATCAATTCAGTACTCTCGTTTCACTGTTAGTTTGACACTACTTTGATAGACTTTAAATTGTATTCCATAGCATTAAACATGCAGCACACCATTAAAGCCTGGCACTGATCTCGTCTGTGTTTGGGTGTCGAAGTGTGCCACAGTAACATGGCCGGGTTTTCGCTAACATCAGTAGGACTGCTGTCCCATGACTGGAGTTTGATAGTGACCTGAGCCACATTTGAACATTGTAGGGCAGGAATATACATTAAAAAAAGAAAAAAAAAAAAAAAGTTTACAAAAAATAGTAATGATTTGAAGAAATGCCCCGATACTGACTCAAATAACTGGGTAGTGGGATGATTACAATAGGTCAGATCTGAAAACAAAATAAATTCATAAAATTGAAGAAAAAGCTTGACCTTGATAGTAGACTGGCTAATTATCCGATCCCCAAACTCTGTTGCTATGTGTCAAGCTTCATTGTGTGTTTTCCTCTCCAGGTAGTGTGTACTTAACAATGTGATGAAGACCTGGGAACAGCCAGAGCCATTTGGTGCCTCTTGAACCTGGGCATGTTGGCATCCTCTCCTCCAGGAATACAGAGCAGGTCTGACAAAGCTTTATGTTGCACGTTTAATTGTAAAAGTAGGACCATATCATAAATGTCTAGATGTTTGGTTAAAGCAAGAGCATGCCACTCAAAACGCATTGCAGTAAACATGCAGCACACCATTAAAGCCTGGCACTGATCTCGTCTGTGTTTGGGTGTCGAAGTGTGCCACAGTAACATGGCCGGGTTTTCGCTAACATCAGTAGGACTGCTGTCCCATGACTGGAGTTTGATAGTGACCTGAGCCACATTTAAACGTTTAATACAAGGGGGCTTTTCTTTTTTCACAGTTGCACTACATCTTTTATAATATTTGTTTACCCGTTTCTTCAGAGCAAATGGCAGCAAGTTTCCATTTGCAACCCACAAAGCACTGCCTCAGGTTACTTCAGTTGTAATGGGTTCAATGAATCAGCAGATTCTATAGTGAAGGGATTAGGCCCATGTGCAGGCACATTGTTAGGCTGTCTGCTGTTAGCTTAACTGGTGTCTTTCACAGGGAAAAGATGATTGAGTAGAAGCCACATTTGAAGACAGTCATGCTTTGCCCCAGGGGCTGTTATGAAACTTAGATCAGCTGATTTGAAGCCTTGTGTGGCAAAATTTCCTGTCAGCAAACTATAGGCTGCTTAGCTACCAGACAAGTTGCACGTTTTATCTCCCCTTTGCTTTTTTTTTTACTGTGCTGTGACTATTTAATTTGGTGGCTGAACATTTGAATGATTTGCAGGTGTGGTGTCTGTGACTCAGGATGCCTCTCTGGAGGGAGAGGTCTGACATCTCCTGGTAGCTTATGAAGTCACGCCTGTTCTCTACATCTACAGGAGATTCGGAGGAGGTGAGTTATTATGCTTTTGCTGGAGTGATAATAACATTATCTCTCTACTATTTTTATTTTATTTTTTTAAATGTAGAATATTTCCACCTTTCTTTTTTTTTTACCTATAATTTTTCTCAATACCAAATTCTGAGTTTTCCTACCATGTTTACCAAATTATTTTCAGATTTGTGTTTTTGGAAGAGGTCTGATACATTTGAAAATGTTTAAACGGGGTGCTTATTGAAATGTTTAAACGTTTTTCTCTTGTTTCCTGTTAGGGGTGTTGTGACCAGACGACCACTAAAGACTGGTCTCAAGTCGAGAAGAAACTCATGAGAAATGCACAATGCTTTTGTTGCACGTCTCTGTCCTCAGATCATCCTGATGTTTCTTTTATCTCCTTTGTGTCAAAGGACAGAGGCTGTAGGATGCTGTACAGATTGTTAACTTCCCCGAGGAAGTTGATGTTGGACTATATGAATGAAACTGCACTAAGCTGAGAAATCAATAAAGATGGCTGATTATTCATAAAACTGTCTTGTTTCTTTTGCTTGTCTGCAATAATATTGCACAATGTATGCACATGTACAAAATACAAAATCTGCCAAATGTCAACATGTATACAGGCACAAGTAAATGGCATGGTGCAATGGCCCATACTAAAGCATTAATACCCAGTGCTAGTGTGCTGATATTTTCGCATGAGTCATACATTCCTTCAATTCTCGTAGTAATGGACTCGCAAGTAATTAAAAAACTTTAATATTTGTCCATGTGAGTAATCACTCACACAATATCTCACTTACGATGCATTGAAGTTGACTTTTGTATAAACCATTTTCAAACATACCATACCACCCCAGATGGGACTCGACCATATACTGTATACATCCCTGGATTACAAGGCCAGTGCCTTATCCTTATTTGCATGCATAGTTAACGAATGTTTATCTGCTTTGTTTAAATGTATTTTTCGAAATTTTGAACCGTCAAGTATGTTTTATGAAGTGTGTAATGCAGCCATTTTTCTTTCTTCCGTTGCTAGGCAACAAAGAACAAACTGCTTCATCAAGTTGAACAATGAAGTGTCGAGTGGTTTCCGGTTGAGTCCCAAACTCTATTTGACTTCAAAATAAAAGGCATTCGAAAGCGGTTTTCTTTTTTAATGGTTTCTCTGTCCGTTATTTGCCTTCAATTGCTTTCGCCATCATGGGGTTTAATGCTCTGAAAGGTTTTCGGAGAGGTGTAATCTAGTGAAGAACGTCCAGTAAATTATTGTACGTAAGAAAGATTTTGGGGTGCTTAATTGTATTTGATGCTGCTTTATACATCTACTCCACTACAATTTGGAATCCAAGATTGTACTTTTTACTCCACTACATTATTTTGGACGAAAGGAGTTTTATTTTACAGATTCAGGTTATTGGCAAAACATAAACTATGATACAAAATTGTAGGTTAAGATATGGTGCAGCAATATATTATATGAAGTAATTCAATATTCTCCACCTTTACCAGCTGTGATGAACAAATAAATGCGTGAATAATAATTCAGTATATTATTATTCTAAAATGGGATATTTTATTACGCACAATAAGTAGGCTACTTTTACTTTGGGTATTTTGATGCCAATACTCGTATACTTTTACTCAAGTAAGATTATCTATGAAGGACTTTTACTTGTCACAAAGTCGTTTTACACTGTAGTATTTCTACTGTTACAAAATATCTGAGTACCGTTTATCCTGATTAGGTGTTAAACTGCGTTACTAGATTTTAGGGTGCTTTTATTTTGAAAATATGGGAGCGGAAGAATTGGTCTACACTGCCACTAAACTATCAGATAGCCAACGTTGACTCAGATCCTCCATAATTCTCCAGTGGAAAAACGTGTTAAAACTTCAATTTAATCACTTAAATTGTTCTCGTAAGTGAATTCCGTTTACCTTGGCAGCGTTATCTGGCAGGGGTTTGATGTAAAATGACTCTATTTAGCTTAAAACCTCACGTAATGGAGCAAGCGTAACAGCTAGCAGTTTGTGTTTTCGTTGAGAGGTACACGTTACCTAGTGATAAACAAGTTAGCTAGCGTTACGGGCCTCTTCATCAAGACTCGTCGAGATGGTGAGTAAACTTTTGCATACCTCAATGCAAAACGTTGTCAATACATTTTGTAATGCTTTCTTATTGCATATTTCTGAAATTGTTGTGCATTGTTGCCAGAGTTGGAAGAAGTACTCAGATCTTGTACTTAAGAAAAAGTAGAAATACCACAGAGTAGGAATAGTCTGTTACAATTAATGTATTGTATGTAAATGGTAACTCAAGTAAAAAAGGTTTCAAAAATGCAAAGTGGCCCATTTCAGCATCAAATATATTTTGATTATAATTGTTGATGTATTAATGTGTTTATCAAGCTGGTAAAGCTGGAAATAGTTTCAATTACTTAATTTCTGCTGGGTAGCATGTGCATTTAATCCAGGTGTGACTAAAGTCTTATTTAAGTGTTGTTCATATTTTTTTTTAATCATTATTCCATATCTACAAAATAACTAAAGGTACTATGTTAATGTAGTCGAGTAAAAGTACAATGTTTACTTCTTAATTGTAGTACAAAGTAGCATTACATGGAAATACACAAATACCTCAACATTGTACTTAATAACAGTACCTGAGTAAATGTACTTAGTTACTTTACACCACTGATCGTTGCCCCAACCCCTCACATTTCTGTGTTAACTGGAGAAATTCAAATGTTGCACCATGGCAGATCCTCTCTCGCGTGAAGCCAGCCGTGGGAGGAGAGACGGCAGTGAGCATCAGCGAGAAAAAGAAGAAAAACAAGACAAAAGTTCCGTCATTGGAGGAATACCTGCAACAGAGAGACTACCTTGGGGCTTTTACCCTGTTAGAGGTACGTACAGTACACTCATAGCACACCCTTCACTATTACCCTTTACTAGAGGGGATACGTCAGTGTGTACACATGCATTCAGGGATTACTATAGTTGTTTAGCCCGTAGAGCAGTGTGTGCTGTACACTGCAGCTCACCGACATCTCCAACATCAGAGTTGGTCAAATGTACAAGATCCCCAAAAGCCCAATAAAATGTTGCATTGTTATAATAATAATTAAGTGGGATGAAAATGTAGCAAAACTCAAAATGATTTAGTTGTAAATGTATTCTCTTTTTAATTTACACACACCATTTATCTCTCTCCTCCTGGTAGAGGGATCCTCCTCTGTTGCTCTCCGAGGTTTCTTCCATTTCCCCCGGTAACTGTGGGGTTTCTTTGGAAGTTTTTCCTTGTCCGAAGTGAGGGTCTAAGGAGAGAGGGTGTCATATTCATATTCATATTCAGTACAAACTGTACAAGTCCACTAAGACAAATGTTACATTTGTGATATTTGGCTTTATAATTTAACTTTGATTGATTGATTAAAAGGTTCAATAAATGCTGAATAACCTTGAAATAAATGTAAGGAATCTAGATCAGTAAATTAAATGTTATAAATGAAGGCTGCCTATTATTCTCGATATTTACACTTTTAGACAGTACAGCCAAAGATGGATAGGAAAGAGGGAGAGGTCCTACAACATGCAGCAAAAGGCCATATTGATAATTATATATGTTGACTGATAATTAACAAGAAATAACATCTTATATTTGAGGTAATAGAAACCGTGTTACCATTTTACAGTTAGTCCACTAGAGAGCACTGACAAGTTTGTTTTTCAATTGTGCAACGTCCCATTAAGTATTTATCTTGGTCACATACAGCTAACAAAATAAATATTTCCGTTGCCTGCATGTGATTGATAAGACCATCATTTCCAAAATTCTGTACAACTTTCCCATTTGGTGAATAATCTATGCATATATTCTTTAATATAGTATCTGCTACACTTTCACAAAGGGGTTAACATTTTTTTTTGCGACTGAATGTCTCCAGTCGATTGCCCTGTGTCATGCTCTGGCATTAAAGTTTCAGAAATAGCATCACTCCCACACCTATGCCACAGACAGCACTGTATTCCTGAACGCTGCTGATTTGTTGCTGTGTCATCTCCAGTTTCAGAGAAGTATTGGCGAGAAAGAGGCGCATGCAGACCTCTGGATTGGCTACTGTGCCTTCCACCTGGGCGATTACAAGAGAGCTATGGAGGTACTCTTCGCTGTACATGTGTGTCTTAATGAGTGTGTAGTTTAATACACAGGATGTTAAAGTACCCCAAATACAGTATTCATTTATTTAAATTATACATAAATGGAGAAATTAAAACGATGTGACTGGCTGCATTTTTAGACTGACCGCATGTGTTATATTCCCTCTTCATGTGACAGGAGTACAACGCTCTGACCATGAAGCCTGATTGTGCTGAGGATGTGTGGGTCTTTCTGGCCTGTGTACTGTTTTTTCTGGGTCTCTATAAAGAGGCTCAGGACGCTGCATCTAAGGGTAAGCTAGATCATGCTCATGTTAAGCATTCAGTATGTATCTATTCATTGTATCTATCTTGCCAATTGACTGTCAAATGTGAACAAGATATGGTGTGTGCCTAACAACCAGTCCAAATACAGAATTTGTATTTTCACATATAATATACATTTTTGCTTGAATTTGACCATACTGTATATTGGTGTAAAGAAGCTGCATGTTCAAAACGTCAATAAGTATTGGTTTGTTTTCAGTTAAATTAATCTCTGTACAGTTTTAGTTCCCATAAATTAATTTAACACCTCCGTTATTGTCAACATTTTTGCCAGATATCATAAAATGCTTTTGAGTCGTTTGTGTAATTGAGCAAATGTAATGATGTAAATACATTGTGCCTCTCATGTGGATTACTGTGCTAATACATTTGGTATCTCTTGCTGTCTCTAGCTCCAGTGTCCCCCCTCCAAAACCGACTACTCTTCCACCTGGCTCACAAGGTTGGAAAACAACTATATTTACTATTGCGTTTTTTATTTACCTTATTTCCCTCACTTAATAATTAACAATTTACTGCTGAGCCACCCTGCTCTGTAAATGCAGTTTTTGGTGTAAAATACGAGAGAAACACACATCTTCATGTCATTGAATGCTGATCTGATTTTTCATTCCATCTCGTTTTGTCTGAGCTCAACACTGAGAAAAACTTTGTGCAATTTTGATCATTTATGTGCATTCATCTCAATACAAACCTGGTAATATCGTCTTTGTACCCAGATCCTTTACTTAGCTAAATGTAGAAATAATGCGGTCTGAAAATACTTCAGTACAAGTTAAAGTGCGGAATGCACTACCACTTTAGTAGAAGTACATATAAGCTTAAACCTGATAATATCCTCTTTGTCTATCGTTTATCTCCTTTTCTGCTGTTAAAATGATGATTATTTCAGATTTCTGTGACCTTTTTGTTCCTTAGTGTGATTCATGTCTTCGTTCCTTTTAGCAGTCTTAGCTGCTTTATCATGATAGCATTTCTGATTGATTTATCCCTTCATTGTCTTTATATTGTGTTTCAGTTTAACGATGAG